TAAGGTAAGTTTTTGCAGATCTCTGAAATGAACCTCTGATTCTTACTTCTCCAAGATCTTTAGAACCAGATGTCAACTCCTATTAGTCTTTCTGCCTCACCTGTTATTGTTATTGAAGATTTCGACTTTGAAATAGAAGCAATGGAAGGACATGAAGCTAATGCAATTGTAATTTCTTCATCTGACGATGAATTCGTAATGAGCAACTCTGATGGTGAAACTAATGACGAAGAAGTAATCGCCATGAATGAGCTTGATGTCGAAATCAACGAGACATTTTGGTCATTGGAAGTTCAAGTGCCCATCCCTACTGCAAGGCACTTCTACTCTGTCATTACTCCAACACCTGAAGTTACGTTTAATTTTCTCATGAACTCAGGAGTATATTATGGCACACGTGAAGATATTGGCACTTGCCCTGGTGGTTCCCTCTTTAGCTTAAGATCTGCAGGGCAGCGTGGCATGGTATGGCGCTGTAATGGTATTCTGGACCTTACAATTGGTATTCGCTGCTGCCAAGGTACCATGGTTAGTCCAAGGCTAAACAGCTTCTTCGCTATGGAGTGGGTGTGGGGTAAGGAGAGACACCCACAGCTGGATGACCGATGACCCACCCACCTGTCCTTACCTTGGTCTTTTAAAAGCCTCCTACCTCCATGGCCATACCCCTCCGACTTGGTCAGCCTTGTCTTCCTTGGATATCTTTCTCATCATGTAGTTCTACACATCCTCCCCGTGGCCAGTCACCCATCCTGCCTTCCCTTGGCCCCCTACACTACTCCTTCATCTACTAGTCGCGGTATAGCCCAGTGGATGTGCAAACTTGGAAGGGTGGTGGAGGGCCTCCTAAGGTTAAAAATAAGTTTTATAAGTAGAATTTGGTATTGTAGTGACCACCAGATCTTAATATAAGATCAATATAGAGCAATATAATGCTACACTAGGTGAAAATTTATGGACAACCTTTTCGAAAAACACACATAATGGAGCGTATATCGTTAAGGGAATGCCTCCTCAGGATATTATCAATATGTTTGAATGGCAACAATGGACGGAGTATTTCTTCAAAATTTGGCGAACCAATCGCCGAAAATGAACGAGTAATGTCTACATTAGTGGTCGGAATCTGAACGGTCCAAACTGCAATTTTGGACAACATTCCGGACTCTCTTAATTCACGCTGGAATGATAGTTGTAATTAAGATGCATACCAATCTCAATTGTAGCCATCCACATTCCAGTAATAAATAATATATAATGGGCGTTGTTGCC